AGTTCCCGGGAGTCGTTGCAACTAGCCTAGCGCGTTTGGGCGCTTGGTCGTGTAAGTCACAGATCAGGAGCTTCGAACTATTTTCAGGTCCTGAAGACGACGATTCAGTCGAAACGTTGACCAATAAAGCGATTCAGCCATCACAAACCTGTACGGCAAAGCAGTATTAAACATTACGAACTAGAAACTATTCTGAACCCTAGAGCGGAGTTCAACTATGCAGCAGACTGTTGCTGGTGATGGGCAACACTCTTCCACAAATGATTGAGCAATCCCATAAGCCATTCCTGCTAATGCTCGGAAACGATGTAGTTGTAGATAACTGACAACAGACCGTAAGGAATCACCCTTGACCCAAGCTATGAAAACCCTCAACCCCAGGTACCGAGTAAAACGGTACCTATTTGCCCTACTGTACTAGTTGGCACATTACAAAGCGAAGATTTTTTCATACCTTTACATTGTCGTGCTTACCGATTCCCTTGTGCGGAACAAGGAATAAGCAGCATGACTTAGGTGATTATGAAAAACTAAAAGGAAAACATCTCCAGTCTTCAAATTGAATGCATAGAGTAGGTCCCCTAACCTTTGAAGGGGCAAAACGCTTAGTTTCAAACAAGGTTCGAACAGTAATTGCGCTTTCCAGCACCGGGCTCCTTATCCCTTACGCCACCGAGATCCCGCTTGCTCTGCCTATTAATCCACAAAAAGACTAAGCTACTCAGAATGGAAGCAAACCGCATAAAGAAACCGAATAAGTCACAAGTTTAATTCGATCATTCTCGGCCACCCATAACAACTCATTTTCCATACTTGAGTGGCGCAAACCCCTCCAGAAAACACCGTCTTGTTTCACTTTAGTGATTACCAGTTGAAGAACGATCGGCGTCATACTTCGGCAAAGCTTTTTATGGCCACCAGTAATTCCGAACACGATTGGGTGAGATATTTTAGCACAGTGTGTCTTTAACAACGAGACCTTCACGCTAGTTTTTCCACCGCATGGCCATGACCCGACCACAATCTCCCAAATCGGTACCCTTCACCCTTGGGAACGGGGTTTTTCATGTGAAGTGACGTTCAAGGTTTTGACACCGTTTCGTTTATTCGCGCAAAAGATATTCATCAACGGAAGACAAGTCGAGATCTGATCTTTGCCGAGTGAGGGGCCACCATGACTGCTGTGGGAGCCGCCCAAAGCGATGCTACAAGTCAGATCTGTCGAAAGCGGGTTCGATCACAATGACGTTTCAGTCGGACAGACGACAGCAATAAAACCACGAACCGGGGACTCCTTTCATTTCGCCGCCACTACGCTTCGGAACTATGCTAACCCGCACAACTGAGGGCAAGCACAGAACGACGTTAGGACGTTCTTGTAGAATGTATCTTAGAAATGAAGACCTCCTTGCTAAGCTAATTCTCCGAATCATTCACTTTGAATTTACTCATAAAAAAAACAAACTCACTTCTCGTAGGTAAGTTTCTGGTCGAGGGCCTGCTTCAATTCGATCACTTTGTGCTTCAGTTTCGTTATTTCAAGCTCTTTAACAGGTATTTCTTCCACTCTCAACGCCACCTGCAAGTTCGTTATGAGGTTCAGGAATTCCGTGGCATTTCAAAAAAGATCAAAAATACGGAATGGAAAGGGAAAAAGTGTTTTCTTTGGTAGAATAAGTAGGGAGTCTCTAAGCACGAATCTAAGCACAAAAATCTTTTACATTTTAAAACAATCCCCAAAACTCAACAGTTGCACAAGAATCCTAGGACAACGGGCTCGATAAAGTTTATCAAAAAAAAAAACCAGAATTTTCCAGAGCAAAATTTTCCAACCTGTTGATATTTCTGGCGCAGTTCTTTCATTTCGCAACTCTTGAATTCCAATGCCGTTTGCAAGGAGTTGATCTCCTTGGTCAACATCTACAATTGCAACGTCTTTTTCGCTTATCACCTAATTTTCGATAGCATCAAATGGGCCACAGACTCACCTTGCCGTGGTTCAGAAACTTTGTCCAAATCTTGCAACTAAGTGGGAAATAGAGGAACTCTTTAGCTGCCCTCTCCCTTTCTAATCTTATGGGGCATGCTCACTTCTAAGAGGGGTTTCGTCTTGCATGAAGCAAGTGGGGGGAGTTCTACACAGCAAACACACAACACTAATCTTTTTTTCGTTGGCTTTGAACATGAGTTCCCTAAGTTATCGAATCACTCCATATAATCTAGACGTCCAATTTGAAGAAAAGGAATAGCTCAGCAATTTCACATATTGGTGAGAGCTCTGAAAACTCGCCTGATTACGCTGATCACTGTCATTAGCCAAGGCGGTCTGCAAGGTTTTTTTGTCGACAATCAATTTCTCAATCAGTTTTTCCCCTTCGGCAATTTTTTCGTCCATTGCGATCACCACCTGGAAAAAAAATCATTCAACTTCCATTTTGAGGGAAGGGCCTATCGTAAGAATTTCGCCTGCGTGAAGCGCCCTAAGGTCAGGACATCAATTAGTGACCCTAAAAGGTACCGGAAAGTTCTTCTGAGCCCTTCTGTTCAAAAAATGGCCTCGCTATGGACACGAGGTCAAAAATTAGTAGTGGTCCCTGGAAATCAATGCGACTCAGCGTTAGCAGCGTTTTTCATGGACTTCGGATATTCAGCGATGAATCACAGAGAAAGGGAATCACAAGCTTTCCAAAAAAGGCATCTTTTAATGCCAAGATACCGAAAATTAGGACAATGAATTTTGCTTGCGATTGTGGGCACTTAATATTCCTGAAGAGGAGGACACTACACAGCGAATGCTGCACCATACAGAATTCAGAGAATTGAGCTAGTCCGAGCCACGAAATGCTATTCCTAACGTAGACAGTACGAACTGTTTAATGCAACTTCATTTGACAATTTCTGGTTCAACTGTGAGATCAGATTGTGGTAAAAAAAAAANTTTTTTTTTCAGAAAATAACGTAACATTACACCTTTCGAGAACACGATAAATAAATTGCCTTCCGGTCTAAATCGGCTGACAAATTTGTAATAACAATAGCATTGATTACCCACCTTTTGGTGGCGCCTGCTCATGGCATCCAGCTCAGCCTCATGACGACTTCGTTCATCATCTAATGCCCGTTCGTTTTCCTTCGCCTTTTCTTCCAACTAAAAAATACCTATATTCCATGATTCGTAATTTTTTTCGCAATGACGTCACCAGCAAGTACTGTAGCGCGATAGTCCCTTCGAGGGCCATAAAGTCGCCGCATAACGAGGTCCGCTTGCTATCAGCAAACACTTGAACTGCATTTCAAAGCGACAAAAATGGGCTTGGCTGGATGGAGGTGGAAAAGCCAACAACAAGCACCGCTTTTTTTTGAAAGGCAGATGACTCGTGATTTATTGATCGTGCCTATTGAAGCTTTGACAAAGTAAAAGATTTTCGATTCTAATATTGCACAGTTAAATATTTGCAGTGATACACAAGATGTAGTCGCCGAAAATCGATAAATCACGAGACAAAGAATAGACACTTTGGTGCTCCATAAAAACCCTATGAGTGCCATTGATACAGTAGCGCTGAACTGCTTGGAGGCTGATGTAGGGGACTACTTGTTCCTTAACCATCGGGTGCCCTTTGACGCTGGATTGACTACTCCTATGCCTGTAGAGGGTTCTAGTCGAGGTAGCTCAGATCCAGAGAATGGCTGCCGATTCAGTGCATTCAAATGGATGGGCACCCCGCGATGGGAAAGCATCAGAGAACTAAAGAAAGTTCAAAATAAAACTTTCAAGTAACAACACCACAAACCCTTTGAGAACCCGGAGCCCTTGAAAAGTCCACAATTTGTGGGCATTACGAACTACCTCCCGAAAAGGTTGTAAGGATGGCTCGTAAAGCATTTTTTGACAAAAGTGGTAGAGAACCCTCCCTTGTGAGAAGTTTCGGGGACGTTTTGGAAATGCTTCAAACACTCTCCTAGGAAACAAGAAAAGATTCAAAAATTCATCACAGCGATTCCGGATAGGTATATGTGAAGGCAAAAATAAGGAAACTTGGATCGCTCTGCAAAAGCCTGAACGCTTCCCAGAACGAAACCGTAACATTTCAGTTTAAGAAACATAGAATTCGTACAAGTCAAAAGTATACGTATTATCGATTAAAGAATTCGATTAAAAAATTGCTCATATTAAGGATTCGCTCATATAATTGAAACGAACGAATTTCATGAAGAATTCCTCTATTCAGAAGCTGTTTCTTTGAATTGCTGAATCAGACACCGTAGCTTCCAACAGTCTCTAATGCATTAGCGAATTATTCCATATTTTACACTTCGTTAAGCGCCTGATGCTTACAGAATTACTCGCGCTGTTTTGCTTCAGGACGGATATCGAACGAAAAGAATAGTGCAAAATCCAGCTGAACTGACCTGCTGCTCGTACCGTTCCTTGAGCCGTTGCACTGCGTCGGAATGGGATCGGGTTACTGTAACAATTATTGCAACAACTGGTACAAATCCAGCAGACAGAATACATATGTTTAGCGGGAATCGACGTCGTCCTTCACAATCGACGAGCGCACATAGTGAACAAATCAAAAGAGACGAGCTCACGATCGAGAACAGCAATGGGTGTTGATGAACCACGCTCATGGGCCGATTACGGTAGAGGTCACGAATACAGTAGACGGAATGTTTTGAAATGTTTCGGGTAAGAGAGGACCGATTCGGATTGTACACGGTGGTGAGTGAGTAGCACCACTTTTCTCGCGACAAATCAGTTGATCCAATCGATCAACAGAATACTGTCAGGAAGATTGGTAGAGGGCTGTGGCGGTAGATTAGGGCTACTTCAGGTAACCCCGGATGTGGGATTTGCTGCAGCCGTTGCGGTGACGCCGACGGTGACGGTGTGTGTATGTATTGTCTCTGGTTCAGATGACGTATAGATAAGCACGTATGAAAATCTGATCGAAATTCGAGGCGGGGCCTGGGGCGGCGCCCGCTGCGACTGTTCTCATAAAGCAGAGCTGGTACGAGGAAAAAGCGGAATTTAAAAGAAATTAGAGCCTTTGGAGACTTTTAGGTGAGATAAATTACTTTTACAACATCCTCAATCAAGGATGACAGCAAAACAACATGAAGGGCGGTGAAACGGATGGGATAACAGGGAACATGACTTTTTCGAGCTTGAAAAAAGTTTAGAGGGGTTTTCTCCAAAAAACCAGGTGCCAATGCTGCTGAAATTCGACCAAAAGGCCAAAACTGGAGTAACAGAGTTTTCCAGTAAGTACAATCACGCCCTGGATTTCCCTATTGAAAGATCACCTTATTCCTTTCTGCGAACTTTTGTTCGAAAGAAGAATAAAGGAGGGCTGCACCAGATCTTCGATACTCAGTAATTCCAACCCAACTTAGTAAAAAACATAAATACAGGACAATCTATTTCGGAAATAGGCCACGTACACATCAATGGTGTAACAAACGAGTGCCCGGTTCGATTGATGCCCAATTTCATGCAAGTGATTTTCCAATCAGCTCGACACTTGACTACAAGTTTCAATAGAAATGAGCGATTGCCTCAAATGGAAAGACACCGAACTGTAGCGAATATTGACGATCTTTTTCATGCGTTTTTCAAAGTATAAAAGAGCTGGAACAAAGACAAAATACGTCATCGATAGGTAATAGCTGAAATAACTAAATATCTGACCAGTGTTCGGAATTCTAAACACCTGCTTTTATTTACTCAGCCATGGATGGGCTAAGCTGAGGGAGCCATCCGTATATCGACAGTCATTCACCTTCTGCAATCCTTAGCTTCATTATGGAAAGGACTGACTCAGAGTTGTACTGGGACGGGCACCCATAGATGGAGCTTGGGAGACACCTAGGCCAACAAGTGAATCTGCCGAACAACAATGTAAGTCTTCTGGATGACTGGCAAAACTGTCTCTACGCCTGAATGGATGGGGGTCAACGCTCTTCTCGATCGTGACCTTCGTTCATATCTGTGCACGTTGGTCAAAATCCAAGAATCTCGGGCTTATTGTTTAGAAAAAAAAACTTTTTTGTATTCGCAAAATTAGCACTACCTTGCTCGTTGTGATTTCTATGCCTTTCCACGTCCTCGTGATGCAATTTTTCTCGTTGAGACAGCATAGCACGCAATTCCTCAACGATTTCCGTTTGTCGAGCTGAAACTTTTTTATTTTGTTCTGGAAAAACATCAATTGGAAAATGGTGAAGCTAAAATGATTAGTTCCTCCCACAACAAAGATTTCCGAGACAGTGTTATATTGAGGTGCCCCAAAAGTTTTCGAAATTTTCGAAGGTACTTTCATACCACCCTCTCCGGGTCTTACCTGAAGATGAAGTGTGACATGCAGGACCGTTGCAAAACTTATGATGGGGCTATGAAGTACCGTTAAGGCCATGAGCCATTTGTTACTGGTAGTTCCGCTGAGGTAAGTCTAGAGTCCCCATCGCACTATGCTCCTTCATCATTGCAATACTGGAAGGACGGCGAAGGAGGCTCACACCCTGTTGAAGCAACCGGTGAAGCAGTATGCCCCTTACTGTGTACTACGGGAATCTCTCCGAGGGGCGTACCATAACCAGACGGTCGTGGCTACCCAGCTACGGGAGATGGATTCGCGAGTCCCTCTCTGTAGTTTTTTCCACGGTCGGATTGTCATGTTCATGCCAATGACTGGCTTACACATTCTACTTATTCTCCCGAACTTATCCCCTGCCTTCCAGAGCCTGGTCAACTCCTGCAAAAACAAGCAGTTTGACAATCAGTACGAGGTCAAAAGACTGTCGATGTTTCGAATGCCTCTCGTCCGAGGTCAGACTTTCGGGAGGGATGGGTCAGTGCCATGGTGGGAAGATAGAGGGAGGTCGTGGAGTAGAAGGCTAGCTACCTCGCTGATTGGAGGTTATTTATTTCGAGGTATATTAAAGTGTAAAATAGTAAAGTGGTCCAAAAACTTTTGGGAACACTCAATAGTACCCGGTAGCTCCACCACGCCTCTGGCCTGGGATCAAAACCCGGTTTGACTGCGCACCAATCTAGACTAGAAACTTTATCCACTACCCTGATAAGCCACCTGCTGGTGAGCTTTTCGCCCAGAATCCCATGTTTCTACCCTTTTTCTCTTTTTTTTGGTCACTCATTATTCTTTCGGCTCCTAAAGCAACTTCTAAATGTGTGCGACACGATCAACATAGGGCCAGTCGCAAAATGTCCATTTTCAGCGCAGGCACCCTTTTTATTACTCAGAAATCACTCGGAATTGCTACTGCGACACCAACTGTGTCCTGAAACAGCTTAGACTTTTTCATAAACGACATCCCGACCTTTATGGCACACTTCTATAATAAATGTCCCTGCCGCAGATGATCCATGTCTCGTTCTTGCGCCAGGCTAAGTTCTTAAATTACCTCGACATTTATTAGATGAACGCTTTCCAGTCTTCCGGTTTCTGCGAGGAAGGCGGCGTTACTAGCCAGACAATCAAGATGATAGATTACTGCCATTCTAACGAATCCTCCAGTTTTAACATCTGGTCGATACATTTTGATTTACGCTATCGCACGACTCATGTTGTGCAAGTTGCCCGGACCAGTGATGGACGGAATGGTCAGTGGAAGAGGAATCTGCTAGTACATGACACTCATTTGACTTTTATTTGACATCATCCATCGGAAACATATCCGATGGGAGTAAGTTAGCCTATAATCAGGGCTTTATTCCAATACGGGTATCCTATGTTGGTTCACAGAGTAGAGATATGCTGGGTGAATCTGAACAGAATCTGATTCAAGGCTGGATGAGAGTGTAAAGCAGCGCCTCCCACCATTTTACAAGTACTTTTCTGAGGCTAGCTTTTAGCTATTCCCATCCACCAATGTAAGGCCCTCGTTGTGCTCTGCAACACAGAGGGAACACATAAAAGTTGCTGGGATTGCACTCTCCTCATTGCGACGCCACCGTGATACAGAGAAAGGCACGACACGCCGTCGCAGTTATTGGAGTGCGGTCCCAGTAACTCCTATGTGCAGAAAGCTTCACATACTCATCATCACTGCTGCTGTCGTTCAGCTTCGTCCGCCTTCAGATAGCTGCGGCTATTTTTACCACGCTTTCAACTAGAATTACTATGCTGGCTAATGGCAAGTGTTCAGTGTGCACAGCCTTTTTGTGAGATTATTTCTGAACATCCCAGGGAGACCCATCATCGTGCATTTAATAGGTCGTAAAGCGGAATTCAGAAAGCTAGGGTGCTTTCCAGCAAACTAAAGAAACCACAGAAACATCACCTCATAAACACAGCACATTTGCGTGCTGCCTTTCACTCTAGAGTATGACGACAAAGTAAGAAGTTTCAATTATAAGGCCTCTTAGTGTTTTTCGCTGACTAGAAAAAAGCTTCTTCGAAAGTCGCGTAAAAATTTTAACGTGCATCATGCTCTTCACTGCCCTTCAGGGGCCTGCAGCAAAGCTCTGCTAGGTAGATGTATGAAAAAGGGTAGGCCCTTGATTTGGTGCTTGGTTTAGTGCCTATTGGGAGCATGCCAACGCAGTAGAGGTAGAAAGTTCAAGCCGGTAATTCATGAGCATGAAGGGTCATTAGCCACATAAGGGTGGAAAGGCAGCACAAGCGACTGTAAAACTGTCATATGACTACGCGAAGATCGCCAAAGCGGACGAGTCTCAACGGTGCTGTTGAGACTGCACTATCTCAAGGACTCCCATAGGCTGCTTTCAGACCTCGACGACCGTCCGTCCGTCCGTTCGACGCGAGGGAGGATCCAGTTGGCACTCGTTGGCATACTCGAATCGATGTATCCTTCCTCAGTATTCAAGACAAAAATGAAGTCATGTATTACTGATTTCTCCGGTGTAATGCGAAATCGCTATATTACTGACGTTTTCTCGAATAAACATAAATGCCGATTAGGGAGGCGGTTTTAAAATAAGACATTAATTCAGTCGCATGACCGAAGTAAATTTGGTGGAAGCAAAGCACTTCTAATTGATATTCAGACACTGTCACACAGTAAGCAACTTCTCGTTCATTCGGTTAGATTTATTCCGAAGTAAAACCCGCGTAGCAGACTTGGACTCTACTAGGATTCACAGGAAGGACACTCGGCATGCATCCTGGTACTTAGGAAGATATCGTTTCTCACGAAAACGTCAACGACCATGTTGAGCATTTTGTTTCCGCTTACTTGGCTTTCTACTCGTTTTTCTGAGACCGCCCAAGTAGAAGCGAACCGACTTGTACAGTCTCACTTCTCAAAGTACAACTTACCGATTTTCTCGTTTGCCTCTTCCAGTTGACATCGCATTCGAGCGTTGTCTTCTTCCGCCCGCGAGATCACCACACATAAAGCATCACAAGCCCGCGCCACGTGGCGCAGCCGCCGCAGTTTCTCTTCTTTGGCTGAAAATTTACTGATTAATTACTTGAAATACTAAGTGGGGTAGTGAAAATCTAAAAGAAAGATTACAAAGTGTTAAAAACGGATCACATTACAAAGTGTTACAACACTTCATCACACCATTACGATATACTGTCGAAATCCAAGAGAGCCCTACCCGAGAAAATTACAGAGCTGATTTCCTACATGTGCTGGTACAGGGACAAGTGACGCATTACCACACGCCTATGGTCTGGTGATTGAATCATCGATAGATTCTCATCCAGGCCATCCAGGCCTTCCACCCCTCCGGCGTCAGTTCATTGGTGTAGACTTGTCCGGGACAAAAAAGCGCTGACTTGCTCATGGTCTAGCAACTGCAAGACATTGTACCGGCCAAATACGCATTCAATACGTCACTACGATTCTGAACAGAAGTCGAATGCGGGGGCGCATCTCGAGTGGAACTAGTTAATCCGAAGGCTTACACCTTCATTTACTGGATAGGAAGCATGCACAGTAGCGCATGCTCCTTCACTTTCACACTTTCAAATGCTATTAAGTTTGGAATAGATACGAAGTGTAAGGCGTCTACTAGGAAAGGACTAGTCATGCCCGGTGTTTATGGTAAGAGCCCAGTTTAGTTATCAACGATTGGAAGCCGAACAATCAACAACAGAGCAGACCTATCTTCCCGGAGGAGGTGACCATCGACTCTAACCTGCAATCTTTGCTCGTTCTTTTTTTCCCAGTCATCAGCGCACCTTAGGTTGAAAGCTATACGTATCATTTAGCGCTAACAGTAAGTTCCTACCAATGTGCATGCAGGTATGTAGGAACATTAATCACCAATGATGGTTACAAAATGCAAAATTAGGAGTTGAGAAACTCCAGGATGAAATCAATTGCTACCAAAAATGTAAGCTAAGTAGCAAACCTGGAAATCATACAAAATACCAAAAGCTTACAAATTTCCGCCGTTGAGGTACTCTGAGCCTTCGGAAGGTGACCACTCACCGCCGACCTCGTCTTAGTGGTCATAGGCTTTCCGCCCGCAAAGGAAGAAGTCGGAAACTGGGTTTTAGCTGAAAACACGATTACAAGGCTGTGAAAAGTTCTTACAAGCGATTGTCTAATTTGATTTCGCGACTAAAGGAGAACATGAGCTAAGCTCGAACAGCTCCTGATTAGATTATTCATTCTTTGAAGAGATTTCAGCCGATCTTTTCAAAATTTTTATTATGTTGCTAAACCAACAATTCAAGAAAGAAATTGTAATTCACTTCCACTCCTGAGTACGACATTTTCTGTCTCCCGGCTTGATCTTGGGTGATATTTACTGAGTGATTGTGCTCTTTTGAGGTTTTTCTTTTGATTTTACAGCTCAACAAGCGCTGAATTGAAATAAGCCTTTACCGGGTACTCAGCCTGCATTTTCCCGAATCAGTGATGGAAACGGTTCGATGTTCAGGAACAGCCCAGTTGCTTTTGCCTCTTAGAAACCCGAGCTGACAAATTCATTTTGCATCTGTTTAAGTCCCACTTGACTGAACAAAAAGTTTTATAGATATCGATAGAAGTGAAAAAAGTCATGATAATTGTATGTAAAAAACTATTTTTCAAAACATCCTAATGGTAAAACGATACACTATTTTCACTTGGAAGCTCATCAGCTTCTTCAGGTCAGGATGGGAAACTACAACGATACCTTTCACCGATGAGGCCTTCGATGGTGTCTCGTCAATTCTTGAGATGTTAGGCGTCTCGATCGTCTTCTCACCGTTCTTCACGTGCGGCGTTGATGTTTTCACCACGGGTTTCCGCTCTGAAATTACAAACGGTATTCTCCATAAAAGCACAGGCAGCAAAAATGATGACGCGATAGTAGCAAATAAATTAGCTACGGCAAAAAGCAGCGTTGTCACTGACAGAAGAAGGGAAAAAAGGAAAAGTCAAAAATTGTGTCAATAAAAACATTTTCCTTTCAGGAAACTATGCAGTCGTTCTACGAAAGCAGCCATTGGCATTGCCCTTTGACTTTTCAGCTATTCTATGTGGTTTCTTCATGAGGACCCTCACGTATCTAGTGAATTACGCACATGATTAAAGTTACTATCACAGTACATTACAAAAAATTCTGCCCACAGCGTTGCTCGACAGTAGCGGAGAAGTATCGCAAGAGGCAGACATTGCGAGACTGAATTTCTTTGTTCCAAGTTCCTTTCATGCATTGATCCCATATCAAAAAGATACTGTAAAAGGGTCAGCTTATTCGGCTGGAAAATTTACGTATTTAATTAATCAAACAACTGTCGTTACCGCTGTTATGCATCATAAACCTAAACGAAGACCCTCAAAAGGCGGAAGATCCACGCCATTTTTCGTAAAAATGTTGGATGAAATCTGATTTTTCGTGACTGAAGATATGAAATAAGGAGCATAGAACGCTGATATCGAATTGTCTCAAACTCTTTTTTTCTGCATCGCCTGTTTCTATGTGGGGTACTCCCCGATTTTACGTTTCATTCAAAAAACCATGAGCCTCGGAGACAATTAGGAATGATACTTAGTTTCTCAGACCAACTCCTAGCAAAAAGTTAACGCTCGCAGTTAAAATGTGGTGCCAACTGACATACCATCTTCCGGGCATCATAAGTATGACTGAAAACGACATTATGCAAAAGAGAACTCTCTTACAAGTGTTCCGTCAACGCAATTGAAAAAAAATTGAGCGCTAGCTTACTTTAGCACCTAAATAATACCTGACTTACCAAGCAGGGCTGAAATGATTGTGCGATATTTCTCTGGACTTATGGGAATCAATATGTATGAGGACGGGCCTATTTTTCATGTCTATTGCGCATGACGTTTCCGAAGGTGGCACCGGAAAGTTTGGGAAGATGGTACTCCTTATCGAAAAACCTTTTTTTCAGTGATGATGAATTGCGTTAGGAGCAGGATAGCCTGCTTGTGAGGTTGTTGTACAGCTCATGAATTGTCTTCAGGTACTGAGAGTGTGCACCTTAGTTGCCAGAAGCTACTGTGACCGCTGCTTTTTTTTGACAGCGCCACAGGCTTTTTTCAAAACAATGAATGCAAGGTAGAAACAGAAAGAATTTAAGACAGTACTGCATTTTGCTTTTTTGCCACGCTCCAATGAATCCTGCTACTTGAAGGATATGATGGAGGGCGCTAAACCCCCTTCTTAACCTATCCCGCACGCATGAAGAACAAAATCAAAAACCGAACAACCAAGGTTTCGTGGCATTCCCGCCGGCCGGTCGGCCGACGGACTATGAAAGCAGCCATAGCAGTACTTGCTTGACATTAATTCATTACGAAGTTTAGAAGGGGAGCTGATGGGCTACCTGCACGGTCTGCCTTGAAGGATAGGTAGGTGAGCGGAAAAATTCATCTAACGGGAGGCAGTACCCATGGGAATCATATCAAGTGCAGTGACCATTACAGTTATTGAACACTCCTTAATTTATCGCTCAGATATCGGTTCAAACTCGCTCGTAGTATCTTTCTAGTTCAGGGTCAAGTCAGCACCACTGCCCTCACTTTCTCGACCTTGACCCAGACCATTTTTGGAGATGAAATATATCAATAACGATAGAGAAAATGGACTAATAATTTCTCGTGCTGCGTCATGCACCTCAGGACGTGAATTATTATGCATGCAAAAAAAAAAAAGAAAAACGAAAATCAACGAAAACTTCAAAACTCCTATCCTTTTTCCGTCCACACCTTCCCATCCTCGAGGTCTCCCTGTGAAACCCGCCGAAGTACGGGATCACCTTACTCTTGATAAGGAACGTGCTGAAGCTTCTTAGCCTGGTTGAACTGCAACTTGTTCCGTGCTTTCATCAAAAATATGGCAAAACTAATATGTAATGCTAGTTTCGAGCAATAAGGAATCTTTTCAGTTTTTTTTTTGTTGTTGCATAAGTTTCGCTAGTGCTTCCAGAGTGAGAAACGAGTCCGACTTCCTCACAGGGTGGGAACAGTTTTAAGTTTCCATAATTGCATGGTTTATGATCACGAAGATTTTGTGCTTCCAAAGAAAACAAGGAAAAGCAGTTCCATTAGCCTTCTGGCAGTTGTGAACGTCGTCAATCTAAAAAGACTTCTAACCACAACTTTCTAGTAGAATGAACTAAGCGGGTTAGACGAGGTGAAAGGAGAACCGGCTATAAAGTGACTTGCTTAGGAGTTTTGAAGGTCAGTTTTTGTTACACTAAAAAGAGCCAAGCCTATTTCACAACGGAGCCTGTCTGTCTAGTGAAACTGAGTCATGGTAATGCCAGTAGGTGTGAGAAACATCAAAATACCCCTGCGAGATGATTGCGCACCTGAAAGACCCGTTAAACAGCTCCAGCGAGCTAAGTGGTACTCGATTGAAAGGCCCTTAAGTCCAGACTTTTTCCGAAGTAACCTCCTTGCTATTAAGAACACGAACGATGGGAAGTGTGATGGGATGGCAGGTTATACGAATTGAAAACAACTAGCCAGAGCTATGGAAATGGGCGTTGCAATGGAAAAGCCAAAAGCTGATGAAGACAGATAGGCGGCCTCAGAAGGCAGTTCCAAACCCTTTTGTATTCACGACGTGGCACAACAGCTCAGTATGTTCCATGCGACAAGACGGAATGGCAGAGTGAAGGTTGACAAAAGAAGCAGTAGGAACCACACCAAACATATAAGAAGAACAAATTTCATTCGGTCCACAACACCACCAAATCCCATTCAAGGCATTGGTTGACTGATCAGGCCGCCCAGCTCTGGGAGAGTACCTATGTCAGCAGACCGATCAGAGGGAACATCTAATCCTCAATGAGTTAGTATTGTTAAGATCAAGAGCAGCAGTCGCATAATCTTAGCACCACATATCAAATACGAGCCGCACCGCTCCATTAATGCCGAGCCCTCTCCTTTGGAGACCTGAATCCATATTAAAAAGCCACTCCCAACGCTCCACTTCGAGTCTTTTCGGATATTATCTTTTTCGATTGCTCCAAAGGGAGCAAAAACGGGCGACAGGGAGCATTCTAATTTCGCTACACGAAAAAGAGAAACCCGACGAAAAAAGAGCGATCTGACGTAACCATAAGGTCAGTGATCAGCGATTTTCCACACGAAATTACTTTTCACAGAACTCAATGAAACAGTTTTGGATAACACTCTGAACGAAGGTCGTCACAGTTGAGCAACGTGAGATGTGTCGTGGGCAAAGAGAGTATAAAAAATTAGTGCTTGGAGAACGACACAAGCTGAGGAAGTTAGAAGCAGCAAGCAGTATCAGCGAGATGTCAATAAAGCTGAAGTTGTTATGGCAGGCATCGGACAAGTCGAACAGAAAAGCAGGAGGCAACTGCTACTTCAAGCAGCGTTCTTTGGTGTCATCTCAAAAAATATCTGGAGAGCTGGGAGAGGGTTGGGTTTGGTTAGAGCAAATGTTCAATCTAGAAGATTCGATACGCTTCAAATAAACAATGCTCAGCACAGTTGCCTTCAGGGATAGGGCTAATAGTCATTCTAAACGATATGACGAACTCAGGCTTGATCACTTTCAAGACATTCGAGATCCTCTTTATCTTCAGTATTTTACCGTAGCCTGTTCTGCTGTTCAGGGATGAATGCCACTCAAAATTCAGAGCTACTCGTGCTCTTTCCCTACATTTAAACGTTGTCCCGTGGATACTCACCATAAGTCTCGTCGGGATGAGTCCAAACACATATCAACTGCTCGGCTCATTTTACTAAAGAGTTTTTTCGACCAGGATCGAGTGTTTTTAAGCTTGGTTTTCCTATCTTTGGTACATCCCCCCCCTGAAATTGAACTACAAGGCTTTCTTTCCTCAGCCACTCTCCATTTAGTTTTCCTTGATCCTAGAGCATGTGAAAATAGTTCCAAATTGTTGATCATGGATCTGTCTGGGAACATGTCCCGTCCAATACAAACATTCGACTTCTTCTCCCTTGCTGATCTTTGCCCACTCTTCCAAATTTGGGATCGCTTTTGTACATAACCGTCAATTTTCTCTACCGACTTCGGCGAACCTTCAATCCATTATGATCATTTACCCCTGTCTTCCTGGAACACCTCTGTACGCTTTCCTGAGTCTCTAAATCACTTTTGAATAGGTTACGAGTTTCTGCAGCAACCACTTCTCGATTGAAAGCATATCTCGTCTATTGTAGGTGATGCTTTCGCTTTTCCCAAGCATGTTTGGCTTGCGATAAATGTTGTACTTCTGCGACTTCTTTTGTGGCCTCTAGGCTGTAGTGCAATCGAGTCGGATAGAAATTACCGCCCACTGCCTAGTCTCATTCGTTATCCACTCTTCTATTTGCCCTTTTTTGGCATCTAAGCTATTCTAAAACCAAATAAGAAGGTTACGCCCTAGACACCTTAGTTTTCAGTATGTGGGCTTGGTCACGCTTGAACAGAGCTCTGCCAAGCTCACATGTGCTCTGTTGGTCTTCTTGGCCCTCACTCCGCTCATCCCAACGTGGTTGGGCTTCCTCAGATAACTAATTTGGTGCTAAGCACTACGCAACGAAGAGCCAAGTTTTTTAGTGGCGACTCACGATGCACTCTGGTTATGAGAAAGGTACTTCATTTTTTTTGCAGAAGCCCAAACGAAGTTGGCACTGTCATCTTGTAACTGCTCATGACTTTCCTCTGCAAACCCCGACGATGTGAAAGAAAAAACCCTAAAGTTAGACGGCCACGATAATAGGAATGAATGAGCTCTGACTTACAATTAGATGAATCTCGATTCATCTTCTCCCAATTATTTTCCTCCCAATTCTTCGACCTACTTCATACTTAACACATAGGAAAGAGCACACAGGCAGCCGGGTCTTCCACAGGTTATCTCACCATCAGCACGGTTGATGGGGTATGGAGAACATATGCATGTTTCAGGAGCAGGTTTGTCACAGCACTATGGGTCTATGCCTGCGAGGACAGAGCAGAATAAGTTACTTATACTTAGCCTTCAAATAATTACCATTTACCATTTTCGGACTTCATCATTGTGCAATACTATTCGTAATGACTTTCATAAGCATCGTAACTAAAATCTGATGCTTTTCACTCAAAGACAAAATGTTTCAGAACTAAGAGCTTTGCGCCCGGTTTTGAATGGCTACCTTCATAGAAAATTAAAAATACCTTAATAAATATCTAAAAATATCTTTGTCACCCTTAAACATCGGTTTCTCCCAGAAGACCACTGAAGATTACAAAAGCATTTCTATTCCCTGGTTTTTAAAAATAATGGTTATGATTGATACGCATATCTGGGAGAGTGTAGAAACCGTGAAGTCGCCAAAATCAAACGCCCTGAAGGGTTACGGGGGCTCAGTTCCACATCGAACGAGTTGCAGAACTGGGCAATTACTGGAAGAGAGTGATGGCAGCGCGTAATGCTCGTCGGGTGATTTTCTGATGTGGGTTTATGCAGTGGTACCAATGGGTACCACTACCTAAATGGGACAAATACGCAGCAGGCAACGCTTCATGAATACCATCAAAGAAACAGTGCGCCAGATCATAGATATGTAGTTGACCAGCAGCGGTTTTTAGGCGTCCATTGAGTGAATTTTGCTCTCATTTATTCGTAGAAAGACCCTACAGTAAGAACCACTTATGAAAGCTCCACGTGTAAATTTTTCTCAGCAGTTCACCCCCAATTCTGTCGAAGACTTTAACAAAATCTATCTGCCACGCCTGATAGGATTTTGAATCCTACTTCGAGGAAGAAAAGAGGCTGCTTCATTTGGCACTACAGGGGATAAACTGGTGACCCAACCCAACCAACAAGCGTGTATCGTTCTTTTCGAACTGACTGAAACTGTAGTGACAAATTCAAGAATTGGTCTATCGCTTCCTCCCTTCACACAGATTTCGAGCCTTTCTGTTGGAGTTCCCGAATTTCGGAAGAGTGATGAGGAAAAGTAACAATTTTTGAACAAGGCTTCAAATACCATATCTCAATAGTGTTTATCGAAGCCCAGTGAGCTGTCGAACCTGTAGTTCAGATCGCATTCTTCCGAACACATCGAAACTCCCTACCCTCTACCCAATGACTTATGAATGTTGAGGTTTTAATACTATTACGGGAGAATTTTTTTTCTTCCATATAAAAGATGCAAACACCATTTAACAGACTCTGATCCGATACAGGCAATCGCAGTAGGTGCTTTACTACAGCACACCGAATTCCAGATAACTCTACAAACCTTGGTGCCGTCGGCAAAGTTTGGCGCGTAGATCAAACATGCCTCAAAGAAATCTGACTGTAAATCGCGCAAATCACAGAAGTAGACTGAAAATGATAATGACGGCAAAACAGTTCCCTGAGTTGGTGACCAAACAAAGGCTGGATAAAACATAGTCTTTACGAGCTTGATAATTCAATCGACTGTTTCGTTCTACGAAGGAATCTACGGAGAAAGCCAACGCACTGAAGCTCATCCAAACGAAGGGGCATGAACACTAATTCGAAGGAAAGTACGAGATCGAGGTGTCCTAAATGAAAGCCCTTCCTGCATCCAATAGTTTGAAGAGATGGTCA